TTGCAACTGATTGATAGAGATGCAAACCTGAGGGTCCAGGGTGTTGGAGGGGGTGGGTGGGACTGTGCCCGCTGATGAGAGATGCACAGGGGAAGAGGAGCAGGGAGGGACGGAGGGAGCAGACACAAAAGGGTATGAAGGGGGCTGGTCACATCTAAAATGGTCAGCACGCTTGTCTGACTGAGCCCTAGGCCTGATCACCGCAGTCTGTCCTGTCTTCTTACATCTTCTTATTAAATCTTTTTTTAACTATCTCTCTGCGTGATCGCACTCTCTATCCCACGTGCACGTGTGCCGCAAGGACTGAGTGCCGGCTACCGGTGAGGTCTGTGTGGGTGTGAGTGAAAATAGGTGCCAGCTACTGGCACAAGTGGGGTCTCAGCATCAGCTACTGGAGCAGGTGGGGGTCTTTATCCCCTAGAGACTGGGGTGGGGACGGTGTGTGGGACTGGCCGCGTCAGTGTCCTGTGTGTGTCCATGTCCATATACGTGCGCAGCTTCGCCACTGGTTGAACCTGCAAAGGGGAAAGGGGTAGCCCCGTCGTTGTTCCCAGGTCCCCGGGGCAGGCTCCAGCATCTGGGCAGCAAGGTCCTGGGCCAGGGTGGCCGGAGGAGGCAGCCACACTCTTAGCATCCCTTAACGATATGGTAACAGCCATAAAACATCCCACCACATTCCTGTCGCTCTGCCGAGGTCATATGCACCCAAGGGGACCAACATGCTCCCAGGCAGCTGGCTCCTAGACCATACCAACCATTTTGCAGTGTATTTTCATCCTCTAGTACTTGTAGTATGGTCCATCATACGACAGGTCGGTGCTATTAAATTAAGTCACTTTATTGCAGTGACAGAGGCAACATGACCGTACCAACTGGGTACCATCAGCCTAAATCCTTAATCCCTCCTATTGGCGTTGGCGACTCATTGTCCAGTAGATCCACACCTGCAAGTAAAATGGCTTCCTTTGTTCCAAAATGAAAAATTCCAAAGGCAGCTGGGCTCTACCCCACACGGGTAACTCCACTCGCATGAGTGCCACAGACTGGAGCCTGGTCAGTGTCTCTGCCAGGAAGCAGCAGCCCCCGGGATCACAGGAAGGAAGGTGCCTGATTTGCACTACAAAAAGTCCATTTCCTTCCTGGTTTTGTCCAGCCCGTTCTCCCCCAGGAATCCCCCATCCTCTGCAGGAGCATGGAGGAAGAGCAACTCGCTCAGGCCAGCCCAAATCCCACCTGGCCCCCATACACAAGTATTTCATGCATTTGCTTTCCTCCTTCTGTGCACAGGACTTCATAATCCTTTGACTTTTGCATTGCCCTTCTACTATCAGCTTCACTTTGGACGTGGACCCTGTTCTCTAGTTTATTTTTAAGGGTGCTTCTAAGTCAATGTGATGAAACTGATGCAAAACTTGAGAAGCAGCAGAACCAGGAAGGACACATCCAAGAGTCTTACTCAAAAAGTTTTTCCAGTTTAGGAGGGACCTTCACACTTTGCATGCAGCTTTACCTCCACCTCCTTTAAGAGGTCATCTTAGTTTACTTATAAAAGAACGTTACAAAGGAAGGGACAGTATCAAAAGCTATAATAAAGCAAACCTGCTTCATCTGTTAACTACTAGGTCGAAGCATTAGAATGGTTTCATAATTTGTGGTTGGCAAATCACATGTTCGTGCCACAAATGTCAAACGTATCAGAACAAACAGGAAAATTATCACTTGGAAATCACGGAAAGAACTTGCGCAAAACAGGTCAGTTTCTGAAGCTGAAGAGCATCTTTTCTTCAAAATAGTGGTGAAATACTTTACAAAGAAGAATTAATTCAAAAATCGGTCTTCTAGGAAAAAAAAAAATCACAGCTTCATCTACTTGGTCACTCTTTAATTTCTCCCCTTTTGGACCTTTGAAATGGCATGCTGGCTTGGGAAGAAACATTAACTGTCATGTCTTGGCCACAGGTCATACTTTTCATAAAGAGCTGCAAGCATCCTATTTTCGTGCATTTTGATTTTGCACTTTCTTGCATTTTCTTTTCCTATGAGTTGCTGCTAAACAGGGTACCAAAGCTCAGCTGACCACCGAGACTGAACCACATTGGCACTTTTTGCGCTCCCCCCCCCCCCCCCTGCCCCCCAC